TGGATTCGAATTTAACCACATGGTTTTTGGTCGCTTCGTGATGGTCAACAGTGCGTTAACAACGAGGTAAAGAAATTCCTTTCTCACGGATCTCGAATTTCCCGGTCGTGCGATGCGAGGAAAAACATTTCTTTCGTTCAAATATTTTTCGTTTCCTGTCAACAAGTTCGTCATTAACGCGAGAAACTAACTTCATCATATGTTCAAGGTTGTGCAAATTTTCACTTGGGAATAATAGAAGGGGAAATAACTGTGTGTCTATGCTATACATATTATTGTTAGGATTTAGAAAAAATTTGAAAAATGATATTTGTGGATGTGTTGTTTTTTGATCGTATTCAGAAGCTAGAACGATATGATTATAATATAAATCATGATGCTAACAATTTTCCTCATTATGTCCTCAATATAAGAGTTCATCTGACAATCTTAATATCACATATTAAGTTGTCAGAAAAATTTCTTCTGTGAGAAAAATGAAAAAAAGAAAGTAATGGGAGAAATAGAGAGGGAAAAAAAAATAATAGATATAAAAATATAGTATAAACAAGATACATATAAAACAAGATTCCTAATAATATATTTAAATTATTCGAGAAAAAGGATGTTTTATATATAGAATGCGTAAAATATGTTGGTAAAGAAAAAGAACAAGTATTAAAATTATTCTTTTTTAATTTAAATTTGTATTATTAGAGTAAAAGAGATTTTTTTAATGCAATAAAATAAAACACTCTATTTTCCTTCATAGAGAAGTCTGTTCTCATAAAGAAGTTTTTTTCTGGCAACCTTGATCACATCTACTTTTTTCTTCTAGCAGTAAGATAATCGTGAGCAATGAATATAACCAGTCAGACCGAACAAACGATCAAAGTGAAGAAAGTGTGAGAAAGTTGGATGGAGAAAATAACCGACTTTATTTCTTTCTGTGTGTTCTTTGTTATTTATATATATATATATATATAGTACTTATATGTACGATATGATATCGTGTGATTGTAATAAGTGAAAAAAATGATAATTCCATTTTGATTACACGTCATCATCTTTTTTTTACCAACTCTGTACATCTTAAAGATACGTATAATCAATCGCAAAAATATTCGAACACACACTGCTATAACTTTGATTTCCATATTATAAGTCTGAGATAGATATAAATAGGGCAACACACGATGTTTTGCAATATGCTGTATAAATGTCAGAATATAAAAAAATGTTTGATTTAATTTATAATATCATCGATTAGATATTAAAAGAAAAAATATCGAAGAAACTAAAGTGGATTTATTTTCATGTTAAATAAAAATATTTGGATATATTATGAATTTAAATTATCGAAAAAAAAAAAAAAAACAACAGATATAATGAATTCTTATGAAATTAATAGAACGATAAAATTGATAAACACTAAAGAAAAATAATTATTTTTTTTATCTAGCAGAGGAGTAAGAACAACGTCAATTATTAAAAAAAAAAAAAATAATTTTTAACACGTTAACGGACAAAAAAGTATCGAATCAAATATTAAACTTTTAATATAAAATTATTTTGGTTTTTGAAGGTTTCGTGAAAAATTTTTTTTTAATATTTAATTTAATACTTTTATTTATATAGTCCAAATTGAATTTTTCAGATAAATTAAAATTACATCGATATTTTTAACCAACTGCAACGTTAAATGTGATAATACCACTTATACTCGTTTCGAAAACTATTTTAGCACTTGCTCGACCTGTCCGACTTTCTATGCGAAATAACATTAATTACCTAGGGATTTCTTGATCCTTTTAATCTGTTTCATCTCTTGTTTTAATCTGTATTTAAATCTTAATATTCAATTAAATTAAATTATTGAGAGAGTCCGTAAACTATTTAAAAGTTTTCTTTTGTTTTT